CATCTCCACACCAGGTCCTTCTCTTTGCCCAGCATTTCCAGCACCTCCGGTTGTATCAGGGTCATCGAGACTAGGATTAACAAGCCTACCTCGGTTTGAAATCCAGTCCATCAGTCAACAGCTCTCAACTCTCAAGCTGACTTGCTACCTCTCTGAGCCTCAGTGTTTTTATTTGTAGAATGGGGATAGTGATCTCTGTCATGTGACTTGTGCCAAACTAGTGACGGAGCATCTGGGATGCTTTTTATAGATGGCTAATGACAGTGGCAACATCGGTGTGGGTCTTTTCTCTCCAGGAAGAGATGCTGCCTTCTTCTTCCTTCTCCTCCACACAGTTTAGCAAAAGGCTCCGTGATGCATGGACCTGCCTCAATGAAGTCGTGCCTGTTGCTTGACCGTGATGGCCCAGGAACCTGTCCCCAGACCTGGGACAGGAGCCAGAGACAGCCAAAGGAGCCCATTGGGCTGAAGATAGGGGAGAGGTAAACAGAGAGCTGAGCTGGGAGATGAAAAGCAAACTGGATTTAGAAAACAAACTCAGGCTAATGGCTGTAGGTGGTGTTAGTCATTCTGTTAAGGAATTTGGGAATACATATGCATACTAATAAGAATTTATTTTGGCTACTTCTCACTACACTATGGGGAAAGGGGAAGTGGAAGATACCTAGGAAGTAAAAGATCGCACCTTGCATATACAGGATTGCTCACTCCAGCCCAGGGCCTCGGCCCCTAATGACCCATGTGACCCTGCTCTTATATGCCCATGGGATGAGCTGGGGTTTCCTGCTTGAATGGGAAGTTATTAATGGGAAGACTAAAGGAGCTGGTCCATGGAGCAGATCATGGAAGGAGACCCCAGGGCCTTTTGTGACCGGGTTTCAGGATCTCTATGTGAGTGTGTGCATATATTCATGTGTGCACATATGTGGGTGGGTGTGGCCATGCATGTGGAAGTCAGAAGGCAATCTTGAGTGACCTTCTTCAGAAGCTGTTCACCTGGGTTTTTTGAGACAGAATTTCTCATTGGTCTGGAACTCTCCAGGTAGACTAGCTTATCTGACCAGCAAGCCCCAGGGATTTACCTGTCTCCTTCTCCCCAACACTGGGTTTACAAGAGCATGTCACTAGGCCAGGGTTTTAAATGTAATTCTGGGGACTGAATTCAGGTTCTTGTAAGTACCTTACAGACTGAGTCACCTCACCAGTCCCTGTGTTACAGCATTCCTCTTTTCCCCCTGGCCCACAATTACCCTTCAGGCTACCATCAGCTCAGGGAAACTCAAGAAGCATCAGCAACGTCTGGGATTCCAGGTTGCACTTTTTCTTTATGGAGCTGACTTAACAGTCTCCACTCTGTAGCTCCTCGGCCCCCGGCATCTGTCTTGCCAGCTAACCTGAACCCTTCATTGCATTTTGAGCCCCATCGACCTCCTTTTTTTCATCCTGGGGTCTCTACAGAGTCTATCAAAGCCCAGGTCCATCCCACCATGTCCTCCAGCTAAGTGCCTCTCTACCTCTGACCATGGGATATCTATCTGCCCCTGTCTCAGTGCCCTGGTCCTTAGGATTTTTGTTGAAAGAATTTAGATGAGACCCACAGAGTGTCGTGTAGAAGACAAGGTTTATTTCAGGGCAGTGTACACTCAGGGCTGAGAACAGATAACGATAAAGGGGCCATTGTGTTGATCTACATCTTAGGCAGACTTGAAACTAGTTCTGAAAACTCTAGAACAAGCAGCTTTTTGCAAGGGGGCATTTCCCTCCCAGATGATTGGCAGGCCCATCTGGATTGACTCTAACAGGAGGGGACAATGGTAAAATCTTGATGAGAAAAATCTCCTGCTATACAGTAATCCTGTAAGATTTAGGGCTCCTGGAGCCAGGTTTTCATAGTCCCCCATTAGTGACTTTTTGGTAGGTTCAGGTAGGGTATCACATCTCCTCCCGGGTTCAGAAATAAGACTCAGGTAGGTCCCATTCTTCTGTCCAGCCAGCCATTAAAGCCCTGCGGTTGTAGTGTTTGGCTTCATATGCTGTTGATTATGGGAGGAGAGATCAGCCCCAATATTCTCCATGCCTGCGAATATATAACTAGCTAAGTAATACCTCCAGACACAGATGTTCTACTTAAGAAAGGGGGAGATACAGCCACATGCCCCAGAGTGTTCCAGGTATTTTATGGCATTTCTCCTCTGGGCAAGAGCTGATGCTATCTTGGAGCAGATACTAACATGGCCCAGTAGTCATGGTATTTGGAATAAAGCAATACAGTGACAGCCAGCTCTGTAATTTGGAAAGAGAGCTTGTGCTATTAGCATTTGACAACTTGTCAGAAACCTAGATGTACCTGGGAGGAGGAATCTCAATCGAGGAATTTCCTTCAATGGATTGGCCTGTGGCCACTTCTGTGGAACATTTCCTTGATTGCTAATCGATGTCGGAGGACCCTGCCCACTGTGGGCAGGTGGGCCTGGGCTGTATAAGAAAGGTAGGTGAGTAAGCCAGTAAGCAGTGTTTCCTCCATGGTCTCTGCTTCAGTTCCTGCTCCAGGCTCCTGCTCTGGCTTTCCTCAATGATGGGCTGTAAACCAAATAAACCCTTTCCTTCCCAAGTTGCTTTTGCTCGATGTTTTAGTACTAGAACAGAAGTATTGGCATTCTCTAGCAGACAGAGGAGGGGGAGGTCACCAGATCCTCACCTGAGCTTCTAGCTGTTGTTCTTCCCTAATTCCAGCTACAAGTGATCTTGGGAGATGCTAGAGTGCATCAAGACTAGAAAATTCATTGGAGCAGGGACTCCATGATGCAGCTTCAATGACTTTGCCATCTGTGATGGGTGAGGCTCTGTGATGACGCAGTTGTTTGAGGGTCATTCTTGTTCCTGTAAGTAACCCGTCATCCATGTTCTGTACTCCTTTCATTATGCCTTGTGGCCTCACCTTTATTATTATTATTATTATTATATTGCTGTTGTTGTTGATGATGATTATGTTGTTATATGCAAAATGCAGTTTAGCTAGGAGGAAGGCACTCAGCAGCTGCTTCTTCCCCTTCCTCTGGACTTTACATCTTTACATTTTCTGCTCCACGTTGCCCCTTCCTTTCCTTCCCTGCATGTCCCCTGCACTTGGCTAGCCCCTCTTTTCTTGAGTGAGCTTCCTTCTCTTCAAGGTTAGCTGACCCCATTTAAGCTTCATCTTAGCCATACCCTTTTCTCCTCAGGTTTCCCAGACCCCTTACAGGGAAGAGCTTGTCTTCAAGAGTCTGTAGCACACAAGCCTGATAGTTTCCTTGGGTGCACCTGGGACAGTGCCCTGCACAAGGCTAGTTGCTTACACCTCTGCAGATACAGGCAGACCCAGCTGCCCAGACAGGTGGGAGGCAGGGTCTTTAGTTACAGTTATGTCCAGCTGAGCCAGTCTTGGGCTGCAGAGACACAACCACATGCCACATGTGCCTCCCTGTGGGTAACTGGGACAGTTGCATAGGACATGTGAGCCACCAGGACAGCAGAGATGGATTGAGTTGGAACAAGCTCCCTGCCCTGGGCTTTAACAACTGGAGCAGTCGCAGGATTCCCATCAATTCATTTCCTCCAGAGGGAAAGACAGACATGTGCCACTCTTCCCAGGAGCCCCAGGAAGCCAGCTCCAAGTCCTACCTTCCCCAGGAACTGGTCACTGATAGCCCAGTGAATACAGAGGACAAAGACCACCGAGCCTCTGGCTGCTCCGGCCTTGTGATTTTAAGCCCACAGCCGGCCGGAGTAGGGACTATACTAACTACCACTTGCCTCAGATAATGAGCTTTATTCTGGGCTCCAGTTTCTTACTATGCTACATCATGACTGCTGGGAGATCAAAGCGGGTACAGTAAAAATTTGCGCTCCGGGTTCTGTTCGTCTGGCCAGATTCTTGAAATATTCAGGAAAGTCAAAGCGTGTGTGTGTGCATGCACCAGGCACCGGTTTGCCATAGCTTTCTGGCTGAAGTGCGGGATCGGAGCAGCTGGACTTAGGGCTGGGTGGGCGCGATCTCCATCTCCGTCCCCACCCCCAGCCCAGGGCGGGTGCGCTCGGGTTTTCCTCCGGCAGGCGGCGGGCTCGGCACGTGAGGCCGCCCAGATCACGGTGCGCAGGGGCTGCCGGTGTCACCCGGCTGCGGATACACCGGGTTCTCCGGGTCCTCGGGGCTCGCGGCCCCGCGCGGTTGCAGCCCCAGCGGATCCACCCGGAGCCGACGCTGCCACCTGGACAGATCCCTGGGCGACAGTGTGGAACGGTGCAGAAGCGGGTGCCGGGGCCGCGGGCGCCGAGGCTGGCACCGGGGCTCCTGCTGCTCCCGGGGCCGCCACTGGGGGCTGCAGCGCGGGAGAGCCCGGCTGGGACCGTACGCTCGGCGGCGGGGTCCTGGGCGCCTCTGGTCTCTAGGCTGTCTCCACCGCTGGCCGCATCCTCCCAAATCCGTGCGTGCAATCGTGCGATCTCTCTGTGTATGAGAGAGAGAGAGAGAGAGAGAGAGAGAGAGAGAGAGAGAGAGAGACCGGGTGCGCGCGAGTGCGCGCACGCGTGAGGGACAGTGTGCACGCAGGGAGTGCGGGGGAGTGTGTTTGTATGTGCGTGTGTGAGTGCCTGACTCCCTCCCTCTGGCATACACACACACACACACACACACACACACACACACACACACCACAGGGCAGGATCCTCTGAACTTGAGGACCCCGCATTCCAAGAAGCCTCAGGTTCCTGGGGAGAGACCAGGGTGTCTTCGATCCGGAAAACCTTACCGGCCTCTTCGTAGGAAAGGATTATGTTTTCTTTTCTTTATAAAAAAAATCTGGAAGAGAGCAAGTTGTGCTCCCCTCCTCCCGCCCCTTCTTGCTGAATGCCTTGGATATAACTGAATAAGCCGCTCAGGGCGCTCCCCGCGTGGATGGTCTGAGGCCACCATCTGCCTGGCTTCGCTGGATCGCTGGAACTGGAAAGCTTAGCTCGAGCCTTTCTCGGGCCAGGAAGGATGCGTGGCGGAGCCAGGGAGTCCTGGAGCCTTGCGGAGTCGGCCTTGGAGCCTCCCCGCCGCGGATAGATGCCGCCTTGCCCAGGTGAGTGACTGTCGTGGCTGAGTCTCGGAGATCCCGGGTGTCGGCGGGAGCTGGGCGCAGGGATGCACGCACCCTGGGGACCAGGGGAACTTTACATCCTTTTTTGTCTCACTTGAGGACTCCTTCCATCCTGGGTACTTCCATCCATCTGGACGTGCAGACGCCTTCCCTGTTTCACCCATCCTTATCGCAAGAGGTGTTCTACCTCTTCTTGTGTTTTGATAGTGGGGGGTAAAACTCTGGTGGGGAGCGGGGAGAGCCGGTCTAGGTGAGGCTGGGAGCTGGAGGAAGACCCTAAGCCTCCTCGGACCAATGCAGCCGTTCAAAGCGTCAGGACAACTTCGTGGCCAGACCACTCTGTTGCATCTTAGCACATGCCAGGCCTGGCCAGGACCCTCACTGGGGTCTGGGTGAAGGCTGCTGGGTCTTCCAGAGCTCAGTGTCTGGCCAGGGTGGGGTAAAGCCAAGTGGGTGGAGGGGCTGGTGTAGTCAGCAGGATGGAGGGTATGAAGGCATGATTGCTGATTCCGAAGGCAGCTAAGGCAGGCACAGGGATCCTACCCTGGCCTCAGGCAGATCAGAGGGAGATCAGGAGAGTTGTGAATGTGTCTGCGGCTTGGGGCAACAGAATGGCATGATGAAGCAATATGGAAACTGGCATTAGCCATGCCCAGGTTGGTAGATCTCTGTCTGCCACCCAGCCCTGCCTGCTTCTGATGCTGGTCTGAGCAGGGAGGAGGGAGAACAGTGGACAGCTCCCAGGAGGCTAGCAGTGACTGCTTCCCAAAGAGAGCCCAACACAAAAGACAGAGGCATTGGGCTCCAGGAAGAGGAGCCCAGACAGTCAAGACTGAAGAGGGAGAGAGAGAGAGAGAGAGAGAGAGAGAGAGAGAGAGAGAGACTGCAGAGGAACTGAGCCAGACTCATGCCAAGTCCACCCAGAAACAGCTGCAGACAGACAGACAGACACACACTTGCAGGGAGAGGGCGCTGTTAAAGCCTGTCTGCCAAGCTGGGGTTGCAGGCATGACTGTAAATACTAACCCTCTACTGTCCGTGTGTGTGTGCGCGTGTGCGTGTGTGTGTGTGTGTGTGTGTGTGTGTGTGTGTTGGGGGAGGTGGCCTCTATTTGCCTTACAGGGCTGGGGGGAGGAGGCAGCTTCAAGAAACTGACCCCTGGGGCTGGGCTCACAGCTCAGCTAGAGAATAAAGTGCAGCCAGGTGGTAGACCAGGCTCCAGGGCAGAGCTTATAGGTGGGTTGTTGCACTTGGGTCTGGAATTGGTGACAGGAGCTGGAATTGGTGACAGGAGCCGAGCAGAGAGGGAGGTGAAACTGGGAGCTGAGGAACCGGGTCTTGTGCTGTGTGTTCTGGCCTAGAAGCTTTAAACAGCAACGTAGTGCAGCTGGGAGGGCTGTGGGACTTGCTGATAGGGACTGTCAGATGAGGGTTGGGCCAGGAAGATCGGTACTTAAAGCTGGGCTTCTGCGTGCCCAGGCTGCTCCCACCCTCCTGCTGACACTGGAATGTGGTGCATCCTTTCCCTCTGCCTAGGGCCAGGGGTGCAGTTCCGTGGTCTGTCTCTGTGCTCCAGGCCTCCTCCTATTCTTCTGTCCTTTTCCAGTCTTCAGTCTAGAGTTTCTGGTCTGATTTCTGCTCGGGGGGGAAAGTAATTGCTTATCTTCCTGCCCTCACCCTGAGGAACAGAAACTGTGGACTTGAACTTGGCTTTTCTGGTTCAGTGCTCCTCGGTGCTCCTCAGGAGGCCAACTCCCAGCGGCAGCTCTGGGGACAGGACTGGGTCTGGCCTGGTTGGAGGGAGGCTGTGGTCAGATCCCCTCCTCTGCTGTGTGGCCTCTTTTCCCAGGCTTAGAAATGTGATCCACAGGGGAGTCTGGTCTGGGGGCTGGTGAACGGGGAGCCTTGGGAGGCCAGGCTAGGGAGGAAGGGAGGAGGGGAAAGGGGAGGAAGGAATTAGGAATGTGCAGGGAGGTGCAGATGCTGAGGGACCTGAGGCCCTAATTTGGCTAAAGAGGGACGCTTTTCTTTTAATCCTCATCCTGCTTCAAAGTAAAACCAAGGGTTTAGAGCTTCTGGCCTTCAACTGCCTGCCTTTGTGGTAGCAGGTCTGCTCATTTTAGTCTTGATTTTTGTGGAACTGTTTTGGGGGAATGTGTAGAAACTTCCAAACTCCTTGCCTGGAGCTGGGGATGGTGCCTGTAAACTCAGGGACAATTAAGAAGTGAGCCTGGAATTAGAATCTATTTCAGAAAGTCCCCTGTCCTGTACTATGGGAGACACAGTCTGATGGTGAAAGTTGCCAGACTGAGCAGAAACTTGGAGCAAAGAAACACAATACACACACACACACACACACACACACACACACACACACATCAGAAATGCTAAGTGGAGCTAGACTGTGAGCAGGAGCAATAATTTGGGTGTCTTATAGGGTTTTTTTTTAAATTTTAGGCACAGGTGGAATTTTAGAATCTAACTCCTTTGTCATGTAATAAAATAAAAGTTAAATTTGGAGGACCTGGGTTCGAATTCCAACTCTGCCACATTTTTGTTAGTCACTTGAGCCCCATGATCTCATGAAATAAAATGAGGTAGTTGTGTACACTATGTAGATGTGTGCTGACCAGTGTTTTCCTGGCAGGCCCCATAGCCTTCTCATATCCCAGGAAATACTCCATTGGTTGGGGTAGCCAGGTACCCTAGTTTGGTTTCTGTTGCTGTGATAAAACACTCACCAAAAACAGTTTGTGGGAGGAAAGGGTTTATTTCACCTTACAACTTCAGGTCACAGTCCATCACTGAGGGAAGTCAGAGCAGGCAGTCAAGGCGGGAATCTAGAGGTAGGAACTGAAGCAGAGACCATGCAGGAATGTCGCTAACTGGTGTGCTTCCCCCTGGCTGGCTTAGCTACCTTTCTTATACAGCCCAGGCCCACCTGCTCAGGGATGGCACCACCCACAGTGGGCTCGACCCTCCCATATCAACTAGCAGTTAAGAAAATGCCTCACAGGCTTGGCAACCTACCCATCTGATGGAGGAAGTTCTTCATCTGAGGTCCTTCTTTCCAGTGTCTCTACTTTGTGTCAAGTTGACAGAAACAATCACAGCAGAAGACAGGGAGAGGCCTTCCATACACATGGAAGGTGGACCCTCTGGCTTCCCCCACCCCTCAGAAAGCCCTCCACAAAAATTTAGTGATAGTTGGGAAGGCAGTTCAGCTCTGGGGCCCTGGTAAGTGTGGTAAGTGCTTCTTTCCTGCTTTGGGGTTTTATGGCCATGAGTGTTTGATCAGGAAACTGAGGCTCTGTGTTTTGCAAGTGTGGTTAAGTGGTTGTGTCCTTTGTTACCCTTCCCTAGCTGAGGCTTGAGTGTGAAATACATCTAACCCCGCCTCCAACCTTCCCATCTCTTCCCCAACTGCCTCTCACTCTAACCACAGCCTCACAGGTGTCGGTCCTGGCCATGAGGGTAAATCAGGAGGGGTTCCTGGAGGAGGGGAGGGTTACAGAACAGTGAAAATTACCTAAACCAATTGGAGGTGGGTTTTGTTTTCAGTTCTTAGAGATCACTGGAAATCTGAGGGGTGTCGAGGATTTCTGAGAAGATGCTTCGGGTATCAGGACCAGTTTTTTGGAATGCTTCCTCCATCACTTATTCATGTGTTAGAGTGCAGGGAGTACTCCGTCTCATTGACTCTCACAAAGCTGTGAAAGTGCCACTGTCAGCCCCACTGGACAGATGAGAAAACTGAGGTTCAGAGAAGTCAAACACCTGATAAGTAGCCAGAAGGGGCAGTGTGGCATTCGACATCAAAGCCTACCCTCTTGACTCCTTGAATAGCTCCCAAAACCCTGTGAGTGAAGGTGGGGGTGCAGCAGGAGGCTCCCCTCTAAGGCTCTGCTGACCTGGTCTGACTGAGGAAGTGACTTCAAAAAAATATTTTTGTATAGTTCTGTTGTTTTGTTTTTGTTGAACTAGAGTCTGGTATAGCCAAGCCTGGCTTTTCAAATTCACTATGTAGCTGAGGCTGGCCTTCAACTACTGAGCTCTTTTCTCTACCTTCCAAGGGCTGGGATGACAGGTATTTGCCACCATACCCTGCTTCCATTTTTGCTTCTTTCTTTTGAGACAGAGTCTTACTATGTAGTCTAGGCTAGCCTCCAACTCACAATCCTGATGCCATAGTCTACTGAGTGCTGGGTGTGTACCTGGCTGGAGAGGTAACTTCAGAGTGTTTATATGAAAGCTCCTGCCCCCTAGCTGGGCATCATTCACTTGTGTTTAGAAACATTCACCAAACAATCAGGACAGCTCCTCTGAGCCATTAGCAGTATGACCAGGGAACGGTAGAGTAAGCACTGGGCTCCAGTCAGAGGTCCTACCTCATGAGTGATGTTGGGAAGGAAGTCAGTCCCTATCTCCCAAAGCCTGGTTTCCAATTTTAGGAGTCATCCTGTAGGGTTGTAAGGACTAGTTCCAATGTGAACACCTAGCGTCATAGTCTTCATAAGTCAGCAAAAGGTCAAAAGTCAGACTCAGGGATGGGGTTTTGAAGATGGGCTTCTGTGGATCAGCTACATGTGGGTTCACGGTTCACATCACATATCAGACCTGGCAGTGGACATTGTGCCTACTGGGAGCGGAGGTCAAGGCTGCTGAGGAGGGCAATGTGGTCCAGGCTGCTGATAGGAGTAGACAGCAGGGATGGGACATACCAGAGTATACCTCAAAGCTGTCACTGAAGATGGGCACAGCAGTGGGCAGAGGGTCTGTCCCTCAGGCTCCTGCTTCTCCATCTTTATTATTACCCCTGAAGGACACTTTATGGACTCTTTTCCCTAATTTGCCCCATGAGATTTAAATACTATGGACATATAGTTTCTCTTTATACACCGTATATGTACCTGGGCTTTATAGATCTAAAGATGAAGGGCTTAGTTTCTGTTCTGTTTTGCTGTCTCTCCATCAAGAACTCA